TCCCTGGAGGGGTTTAAAAACTGTGTAGATGTGGCCTTTGGGGACATGGGTTAGGGGTGGCCTTGGCGGTGCTGGGGGACAGGTTGGACTCCATCTTGGAGGTCTTTTCCAACCTCAGTGATTCCATGATTCTGCAGCACTGACTGGGACTCCAGAGGAGCTTCCAGCAGAGCTGAGCTGTGTGACCCCCAGAGCAGAACAGACAAATTTGGGCTCCTGGAGAATAAAACCATGGGGAAATGTCTTACCTAGAGATCCCTCAGGGCTTGAGCACCCAGTGATGCTGCTCAGGTGATGCCCAAAGCCATTTGAATAAATTGGTGCTGCCCTTTGTAGTCCCAGTGCCATCTCCACGTGCCAAAGGAACTGCTGAGCTCGTCTGAGGAGCACCAGGAGGATCAGAGGGCTGGAGCAGCTCTGCTGGGAGGAAAGGCTGGGAGAGCTGGGATTGTTCAGCCTGGAGGAGAGGAGCTTCAGGGAGACCTGACTGGTCTTTCAGTGCCCGAAGGAGCCAACAGGAAAGATGGAGAGGGGCTGTTTGCAAGGGCCTGGAGTGACAGGACAAGGGGGAATGGCTTCCCACTGCCAGAGGGGAAATTTAGGTTGGATATTGTGAAGGAATTGTTGGCTGTGAGGGTGGGGAGGCCCTGGCACAGGTTGCCCAGAGAAGCTGTGGCTGCCCCAGCCCTGAAAGTGTCCAAGGCCAGGTTAGACAGGGCTTGGAGCAACCTGGGCTAGAGGGAGGTGTCCCTGCCCGTGGGAGGGGTTGGGACTGAGTGATCTTTAAGGTCCCTTTCCAACCCAAACCATTCTGGGATTCTATGAGGCTTTATTAATTCCATGCATTGAAGTAGAAATGATATTTTCTTTGAAGGAACAGAAGAATTCTTGTGTCCCTTTATCCTTTAGGATATCCTGGAGGAGCAGCCCTCAGTTCTCTGGGTCCCTCTAATATATCATGTTCTCCGTTATTGTTGCCATAGTTTGTGCTGGTTTTGAAGACCACAGACATTAAAGTCACATAATTCTCTCTTAGAGTAAGTGATGGAGAGAAATGTTACTGCTATGGAGTGAAGGTGGGAAGCAGTTCAGTTGATGGATACATTTTTCCAGGGAGTGACTGGTAAATCTCTCTGCCCTTGCAAAGGGCACACAGAGAATGGAAACATAATTCAGAAATAGGAGAGTGGGAGTCTCTGATAATACAGCCCAGGGAAAAGGAAAAAAAAAACCAAACAAAAATGCATGACCTGTGCTGGGAAATCCTGAGAGTCCCTGAGGGTAAAAACAGCCCCAAGTGCAGGAGAGTTCCTGCCCTCCTGGAATAGCACTAATGCTGTGCAGCTTATCCCTGCCTGGCTGGTGATTTGTACCCTCAAATGTTTGCACACAAACCCTCTCCCTCCTCTGGGCTGTGTTTGCCTGTGTTTGCTGTTCAGCAGATTTGGTGTAAACTGTTTTGAGAAAGTTCCACTCCAACTTTAGGTGATGTTGGAATTTTCTTCTCTCTGCTTACAAAGCTGCCACGGTAATTATGGGAGTCCAGAGGAGAGATGCTGAGAGAGGGGAATTAATTAATTCCAAAAATGACTTACAGTAGCTTTAGAAATACCAAAGTTAGTCCTTTAATCTCAGTGTGTGGTTCAGATGCTTCTTTCTTTTCAAATAAAGCTCTCATTTAGTACTGTCAAGTTTCTATGGAATAACCATTAGTCCTGTCACTGGCTCAGGACTGAGCCTGGCTGCTTTAAAATTCACTAAGCTCTGCTCTGATTCCAAATCAGCTTTTTTCTACGTGAGGCTGCAGCAATATCCACAAACACCCCTTTTTATCTGGGCTTTGCAGCACAGGGTGGAATTTTCTGGGCTGCAGCGTCAAGGCAACGAGAGGTGAGCCAAGGACCTGGATCCACACTCAGGGCTTTGTTTTTTTTTATCTTCAAAAAAGACCAGCCCCCAATGTAAACCCTCAGATATTACTGGAGGACATCAAGGCACGTCAAGGAAATGTGAAGTGACATATTTGGAGCAGAGGCTCGTTTGTAGTCGGGTGATTCCACGCGGGGTCCTGAGCGCTCGGGCAGGGCTGGGTGGGCTGGAGGAGGGTTTTCCTGCCCTGGGAATCGTGACCTCAGGTGGGTCAGACCTGCAGGTGGTGTTTTCACATGGATGCTACAGTTGAGCTCCTTGTTTTCCTCTTCCTTCTGAAATCCCTTTGGCTGTTCAGGGCCGTGTTGTGGTGGGGTTTTGAACTCCTCCTTGTGTGTTTGCCGGTGTGGATTCAGCCCCAGCTGCTGATGTTCTGCCCAGTGACACGTGCTCAGCTCCCCCAGGAGCTGCTTTTCCTGGGGCTGGGGGGCCACAGGGACCAACAGCAGACACACACACAGATAACCTGGGGTTCTTTTTTAAGACACCTGCTTGAAGTTGCATCAAACTGCCTCTTGTGTTTCTGTCTCAGCGCTCGGGCAGCACCACTGAGGGCTCAGCAATGGAAAGCTGGGCTCAAATGTTAAAGCTGGGCTCAAATGTTAAAGCTGGGCTCAAATGTTAAAGCTGGGCTCAAATGTTAAAGCTGGGCTCAAATGTTACTCATCACTACTACCCAAGTTGCTCACAGCAGTGATCAGGGCACACACAGCCCCAGGCCCTGGGTGAACACCGTCTGTGGGTTCCTGCAGAGCTGCTCCTGTGGCCTGGTGTCCCCTCTGGCTCCAGCTGCTTTTCTCAGTCCTCCTTGTGCCAGGGTGTCTTTTGGATACAGATGCAAGGTTTGGGAGGGGGATTTGTTATGGGATCCCAGAATGGTTTGGGTTGGAAGGGACCTTAAAAATCATCTCGTTCCAAGCCCTGCCATGGGCAGGGACACCTTCCACTTTACCACGTCACTCAGGGCCCCATCCATTGTTCATTTAAGGCTGTTTCCCCCTTTTCCAGGTGTGTCAGGAGTGAAGGCAGCTCGCTTTGAGGAGGCCCTGACAGTGAAACACTGTGCTCTGTCCCTGGTGGGGGAGCCCATCATGTACCCCCAGATCAACCGCTTCGTGAGGCTCCTGCACCAGCACAGCATCTCCAGCTTCCTGGTGACCAATGCACAGTTCCCAGAGGAGATCAGGTAAGAGCTGGATGAAATACCTTCCTACTAAAACATTGGAATGCTGACCTGTGTCTTGATTCCACTTTATCCCCCACTGGAGTGAGCTCTGCATGATGGCAATGGAAAACCCACTCGGCATCTCTTTGGTTTGAACCTCAGTCTCCCTGTGCTCATTTTCATCTCTTTCTCTCCCCCAGTTTGATTTTCCTTCCTGTACCTCCTAAACAAACTGGGATTGCTTCTGGAAGTGAAGAGCATGGAATGTTGTACCTGCTGAAGGAGGAGAACAGGGAGGGAGCTGTGCTTTGAGCTTGGGGATGTGGATACCTGGTGTGAGTGTTTCTGTCAGCCACAGCAGGAGACTGAGCTCATAAATTTTGGGTCTGATCTTTGTTCTCACTCCCTAAGAGCAGCTTTTGGCTCAAACCAGAGATCTGTCCAGCCCAGCATCTCCAGCAGGACCCTGAGTGCAGGACAAGGACACATGACAAGCACACACTCATTGGCAAAGTGGGATCAGAGGTTTTTACCTCCCTCTCAGAGGCACTTGAGCTGTGATTCTGTCAATGTAACAAACATATTAATGGACACTCTGAGAGTCTTTACAAATGCAAAGAAACCCCTTTTCTGCTGCTTTGGAGCATCCAGGCTGCTTTTAACAAAGTCTGAAGCAGAGTAGCAAGGAAACAGCACATGGTGTGAGCTGAGGGTGGGTGGGAGCTCAGAATTCCATCAGCTGATCCCTCTGGCAAAGGCCAAGCCTGGAGCTGGGTGAGCTGAGTGCAGGGTGGCTTTGGGGTGTCACTCAGCTCCTTGTTTCAGCTCAGTCCTCTCTGTGTCAGTACTTCTGATAGAGCTTCCTTTTCACTCCTCATGGTCTGAATATGGCAGTGGGGGGGGGAGGGCAGGCAATTTTGGAGGGAGTAATTATACACCACAAAGGCATTCCAAATGATTGAATAATTGTGTAATCAAGTTACTTTAAGTCATGTATTATGTGCCTGATGGATAGAAATTGCTCTTTCCTAAATATAGCAGTTTAAAAAGAGAGCACACGCTCTATTTTGAAGCTGCACTTCTTCGGATCTGCTGAATCTGTTTGAAAAGAAACAAAAAAGAAAGCGATAAAACGCTGGTCTTGCTGTCTTAAAAATTGCAACTGATCTTTGGCTCTTCAAAGCAAATGATTTGCTTAATGTGGGAACTGAAGTAGGCACCAGGCTCAGTTCTGTGCTGTCAGCAGAGGGGGGCTGGAGTGGAAATGTTACTCCTAAAATAGGCAGAGTGACCTCTGGTGCAGGAAGGGCCTTTGGACAAGGGCCTGCAAGGGCCTCCAAGGGCTGGAGCCCCTCTGCCCTGGAGCCAGGTTGGGAGAGCTGGGGGGGTTCACCTGGAGAAGAGAAGGCTCCAGGGAGAGCTGAGAGCCCCTTGCAGGGCCTGAAGGGGCTCCAGGAGAGCTGGAGAGGGACTTGGGACAAGGGATGGAGGGACAGGACAAGAGGGAATGGCTTCCCACTGCCAGAGGGCAGGATAGATGGGATATTGGGAAGGAATTGTTGGCTGTGAGGGTGGGGAGGCCCTGGCACAGGTTGGGCAGAGAAGCTGTGGCTGCCCCATCCCTGGAAGTGTCCAAGGCCAGGTTGGAGCAACCTGGGCTAGTGGAAGGTGTCCCTGCCCATGGCAGGGGTTGGGACTGGATGATCTTTAAGGTCCCTTCCCACCCAAACCATTCCATGGGAGGGGACTGTGGGCTGGGCTGTTGCTGGGTTCGGGACAGGAGCCCACTGGGCCTCCAGTGTGGTGCCTCCTGGGCCTTCCTCTCCTCTCCTCTCCTCCTCCTCCTCCTCATCTTCTCTCTAGACTTCAGCTCCAGCTGTCCACTCATCCACAAAGTGAGGGAGGTTTCCTGGCTCTGAACAAGAACCCTCCAGTGTGTGTTTGCATTTGTGATCCTCAGAGGTAACAGTGAGCAGATTCTCATCGTTGCTCACAAGCAGATGCTCGGGTTTGGTGTTGCTGTGTCTGCTCCTGCTGGAACCACCTCATGGCTGGTGTGTAAATGCCATGGATTTGGTGTTCTCAGACAACCAAAACCCCATCCTGGTACCTTCCAACTCAATCTCCTGTTAATTGTGAAGTGTAGCTGAGTTCCAGGAACATCAGGTGGGTTCTAGTTCTCATGGCACCCATGGCTGCCCTTTCTCCTTGTTTCCTGAGCGTGTCCAAGCTCATCCTGGCTCAATTCCCAGCCAGGCAGGGCCCTGTAGACCTCTCCTGCTTGGAGCAATATGGTGCAGAAATCTCTCCTTGGGATCTCTTCTAATTCCTTAATTTTCTCGCTCTAACAGTGAGTCTGGCTCTTGCCTGTCGTTAGCTTTGAGTTCCTCAGAGAAGAGATGATTTTTCTCAGCCTGCAGTTTAAAAACCCCCTCCATCTTCACTGGGGCACCTTCTAATTAAGCAAACACAGCACTGAGAAAAAAAAGAGTATTTTGGCTCAGTTTTCCCTGCAACTGAACACTCCAATCCACTTAGGCCTAGAACATTTGCTCATTTTGGAGTCTGTGGCTTTGGGCTGCCAGTCCAGGCAGGCTTGTTTCCCAAACTGATATTTTAACCTGAAATGTTCAGTTTGTTCTGGGTTCTTCATGCAGAGGGAATGTGTTCAGGTGGTTGGTTGAGTGTCCACGTGAAGTGGATTTTTCTGGACACAAAGAGCTCTGCTCAGTCTCATTCTGGCCAGTCCTTGTCCCTTTGTCACCTTCAGGGTGGGCGGGGGGTGGGTGTACTTTTAGGTGGCCCTGTTTGGCAGCTGAGCAATGGTTTCTAATTTCTTCTCATCTTCTCCAAGGAACCACACGAAGCTGGGACTGGTGCCTGCTCATTGCACTCCCAAAGTGCTGTCCCCACACTGAGCTCTGGGGGACACTTGGGATGTGGTTGTTCAGCTCAGAGCCCCTGGGGTGGAAGGTGCCACGAGGGCTGGGTGTGTCACACTCACTGGCTTTGTCCCTTCTGTGTGTCACCAGGGTTTGTCCCCATCCCTGGAGGTGTCCAAGGAAGGACTGGAGGTGGCACTCAGTGCTCTGGGCTGGGGGACAAGTCACAGGTTGGTCTTGATGATCTTGGAGGGCTTTTCCAACCTGGAGTTCTAAGGGAGCTCCTTCTAGGTTGTTCTCAGTGCCCTCAATGACCCCTTTGCTGATGCACCTGTTGCTGCTTCTCTTTTATTCTCTTGATTTCTGGAAGTGTTTGGACTCAGCCCGGGCTCTTCACACAGCACAGGAGGTTTAAACTCTTTAGGAATTACCAGTGTTGGGCTCACAGATGCTGAGCTCACCAGCACAGTGGGACCAGAAAGGAATATTATTTATGGAATAAGGCCTTGTTAGTGGAAGGAGAACATGTTGGTGGTTTGTGTGTGGGTTTATTTTATAAACAGCTTTAATATCCCTTCAAAAAACTGGCTGAGGATCCACCTGCAGGTCAGGTAAGTTCAGTGTATACAGCAGTAGGAAGTGGCTGAGTTATGCCTCTATTAAGAATCCCAGAATCACTGAGGTTGGCAAAGCCCTCCAGGATCACCAAGTCCACCCTGTGCCCAATCCCCACTATGTCCCCCAGCCCAGAGCACTGAGTAGGGGACTCTACCACCTCCCTGGGCAGCCTCTTCCAGTGCCTGACCACCCTTTCCAGGAAGAAATGTCCTCCTGAGGTCCATTTCTATGGAATGGGATTAGTTTTCCATGGGCCAGAGCAAACAGAAGTTGGGGCAGGGGCTGAGCTGTGTGGATTTTAACCATGGGGGCTGTGGGGAGCAGCAGAGCTTCTCCGTGCTTCCCTGGCAGCCTCCTTTGGGAAGCCTTTCCCGGTGTGTTACAGCTACTCTGGAGTGAAATATGTTCCGGTTCAGTGAGGAAAAGATAATTAAATGGTCAGCCAAGGCCTGTGTGTGTGGGTTCCCAGCTTTGGGGGTGTTATTTGGTGGAAGGTTCTAGCAGCTCACCACGGACGATGGTCACTTGGCAGAGCTGAACCCCTGGAACCTGGATGGTTTGCCAAGTTCCTGTTGCTACTGGACCTGCAGAGCAGCTTGGTGGGAGCTCCTGTAACACAAAACCACAAACTGAAGCAACAGCAAGGTCTGAAAACAGCAATTCCCTGGTTTTTCTTTCCACAGGAGCCTGGAGCCAGTGACCCAGCTGTATGTCAGTGTGGATGCCAGCACCAGGGAGAGCCTGAGGAGAATCGACAGACCCCTCTTCAAGGACTTCTGGCAGAGGTTTCTGGACAGTTTAAAGGCCTTGGCTGAAAAGGTACCCAGTTAAGAATGCACTTCTAAATAGGTTTTTTTAATTCCTTCTGCACTTTGCCTGCTCAGGACACCTTTTCTTTCTTCCTTCTCACCTTACTTCTGCTTTCTACAAAAGCAGAGACTTTCTACAAAAGACTTGAGAGGCTTCAGAGGCTCTCAAGGTGGGCCATGGGGTGGGTTCTGGATGTGCTGGGAGCATATTTGCGTGGTTTGTACCTTCAGGTGTATAAAGTTTAGCAGGTTTGACCCGTTTTCCATGTGGGGACAAACTCATTAACAAAAGAATGTGTCTGAAATGAGACAGTAAACTGCTGTGAGAGCTGGAGAGATCATCAAATAATAGAATTCCTGATGAAGGGGTTATGCTGAAAACAGGCTGCTGAGGGAAAGCTGGAAAGCTGGAAATTCAGGGAAGCCTGGGAAGAGTCACAAACCCCCGTATATCACCTTGCTGTGGTTCTCAGAGGTTCCCTTGACCCTGCAGACATGAAACTGTGTGTGCTGGAGTTTGCCAGCTCTGACCACCCCCCTCCTCCGTGGAAATCTGCTTATTTCTGGAAGATTGACCCAAACCAGGGGTGATTTGTGTCCACCAGAGGCAGCTGAGCAGTGACCTGAAGGCCCATGGGACTGTGTCAGCTCAGAGCTTGGTGTGACACGTTTTGTAGCAATTAATGCCCCATCCTGGGCCCAGCATCATATGAATTGATAACAATAGTGCTTCATGAGCAAGTCTCCTCCTCTTCTTTCTGATCCTGTGCTCTGATGGAAGCAAATCCTTGTATTTACCAATTTGGCAGCTGTTGACACGTTCCCTGCTGAGATGAACAGCCAGGAGAGAGGGTTTCCTTTAAATAGTGAGTTTTTCTGCCTTCTGAGATGACAATATTGGGCTATTTTCTGCCAAATCTACTCAGATTAGTAGATCTGGGGGACTCAGCAGGGTTCCAGTTTATTCTGGAAAGTGTGATCAGGTGGATTGTGTGTGAATGTCTGGTCTTAAAATCTCAGGCCAAACTCTTGGGTGTGTTGGAATCAGGTACAAACTGAGTTCTCTGGGAGCAGGGGCGGTGTGGGAACAACAGGAGCTAAAATATTGAAGGCAAAAAAATGTAGAAAAAGCCCTTTGGGGACTTGCTTTTGCTCATCATTTCTTTCCTGCTGCCTCTCTTGACCCTGGATAGATTTGGTTCATTCCTTGCTGGGTGTTGTCAGAAAGTTCCTTGCAAAGGATTGAAGGTGAAAGTATTGGCAGGTCTGTCCATTCAGCTAAAAATACTCTGGCCAAGGTGAAGAGGAGAGGAAAAAGGAGCTCAACTAGCAGGTGCATTTTCTGCTCAGAGCAACTGCACTTTGAAGGGTCCTTGAAACACTGGGAAAACAAGAGCCAATTAATATTTGCTCCAGTTGGGGAAACTGCTCTGCCAGCCCTGCTCAGCTGCACGTGGGGACAGCAAGAGCTCCTGGGGAAGCTGCTGTTTGTTGGGTTTTTCCTCTTAATCACAGAATCCTTTTGGTTGAAAAAGGCCCCCAAAGGCTGTCGAGTCCACCCTGTGCCCCATCCCCACCCTGTCCCCCAGCCCAGAGCACCAAGTGCCACCTCCAGGCCTTCCTTGGACACCTCCAGGGATGGGGACTCTGCCACCTCCCTGGGCAGCCCCTTCCAATGCCTGACCACCCTTTCCATGG